AATGGAGCTCTTAAAAAAGTCAATTTCATGTTTCGTTGTCTCCATATCCATAAATTTCATGATTCAAATGTTTGTTGACGTGTAGCTAGCTGTTTACGATAAAATCGTAAAAATGTGTAACGAAAATAAAAGTTTTTTTTTTTTTTTTTTTGTTTTTACAGTATGAACGATTTAAAGAGTAACAACATATGGATTCTGATTCGGGCGGACATACATTTATTACAGCTAAATGTGTACAAGTAAATAATTGTAAATAAAAGTGCACAGTACTTTTGTTTTAACTGATTCTTGTGGGAGGTTTATTTCGTGAAAATATTTTTTATTTTACCTCTTATTTTTTTAAATTTATTTATTGTTTATTTTTGTTTTGTTTTTGTTTGTTTTTTGTGTTTCAGATTTGCTTACGGATATTTAAAAGTGAGTTTTGTAACAATTAGTAATAGGCAGTGATTTCAGTTTAAGCATTTCGTTTGTAACATTCAGAAACTCATTTGGACGTCAACCCCGGTGTCCCCTATTCTGAACTTATTGGATTTTTTTTTTTTTTTTGTTAATGACAAGCGTCAACACAGTGTTTGAAAACTTAAGCCAGCTTTCCTACTCGTTTTTAACCTGATTCCAGTTAAGGAATTGGCCAGCAGTAAATAGATTGACAGACGCCCAATGTTTCATTGCTTCAAATGCCCTCAAATACTAAATTAATGAAATAAAAGCAAGAGATAAGAAAGTTTTTTTGTAAAAGTTTTTCGTTTTATTGACTATAAAATTAAGCTGCTGAACGAATGAAAAGGACTGTGCACATATATTTACTTGGCAAACACGTGTAAGTATATTTACTTAGATGTATAGATGACTGCATTTACAAATAACTAAAATGTAAATTGAAGAATTGTATGAATTTAATGAAATACTTGAATTATTTACTTAAATTTTTTCCTTCTTCTTCACTAATACATCTATAATGTAATAAATACATATTTACATATGTCAGTTAGATAAGTTTGAATTTTGACTCGAATAGAAGACTAGAGATTTATATTGCAAGTACGTTTTAAGTGGCGTACGTACATTCGACCAATAAACGCGTTTACAATAGCTTTAGATCTGAAATGACTTCTGAACATGTTGCACAATATCGTTACTACGCGTAATTTGCATTACAAACATGGAATTAGCTACAAAAATGTTGTTGCGGTCTGGTGACGTGATCGTTTCACTACGTCTAACCCACATGTGTCTTATTTTGGAAAATCGCTATTTGGAAAACTGCAAATTGCCAATTTTTAACATTTCTCGACAGAACTCGCTGAGAAGCAGTAGATCGTGACATGTTAAATTGGTATCAGAAACTTTGTTTTGAATGCGGTAATTTTTTGAAGCCCCTCTCTCTTATAACCGTTCCTTTGAAAACTGAATGGTAAGAAGGCATAGTTTTCAATATTTCATTGTGGTTCAAAATGCAATATTACCGAACTTTGACCATGTAGGTCTATTTTATGGATATTATCGCATATAAGGATTCTCAGGAAATGTAAACTATTATATGCCAAAAAATCGAATTGTTTATGTTTTATGATATAAAATTTGCTGATGATAGCAATTTGACGCAAAAAATGAATGAACCAAATTCGAACCACATGCGTTCGCTTCTTGGACGACACTTCAGATCAGATTTCTTATGAATAGCTAGCCTTTCAGAAGAAGATTTCATTTTTAATGTTCTATGATGAAAATTTGTTCAAACGAAACGATATTTTTTATAGCCTAACATATATGGGGGTTATATGCGGAGAAAGCTTAATTTGGTAGTTTTCTATGACGAAAAGTGGAAAATAGTAAACTTTTTAGGAAGTAAATCAAGTTTGATAAATTTGGATGTGATGCCATGTGATATTTCGGGCTTTCATGAAGAATCTGCCTTTCCATGAAAATAATGTATAGATTTTGGTGTATTATCACCAAACGAATGAATAACTGTACTAGGCGAGATGGTGTAGTCTGCTTACTTGCTTTCAATTAAATTTGATTAATCAGACTTTACGGCGGGTCGTTGCGCGAAGGAAATAAATTTATTGAAACCAAAGTCCGGTATGTTATAGAAAGTGCATAAAGCATATAATGTCTGCATGCGCAATGAAAATATCTGAAAACATTTTGTTAGTGCTTCTGGAACGTTTAGTGTTTCTGAAAGTACCAAAGTAATATGCCTGCTACGTATGCAGTTATGTCGCGACTTTAAATGCATTGAATAGTTCGCTATTGAAAATTAACAAAATTGACTTAAGGATACGGTGATACTGCATTAAAGAATAAAGTGACCGCGTGCGACACAGCAAAACTCTTTGTTGATAGTTTAGCTAGCATTAGTTTGTGAATTCAAAGTAAAATACATTAAAATGTGAAACAAGGCCAAGCATGATATACTGTACGCAATATTAAGTTATGGATGTCTTTCGCTATTAACGTCGTAAATGAGTAAAAATTGAACTTTTTTATCCCCCATGAATGCTAATATCAATTTTCATATCTGACCAGTGTATGAGTTAATTATTTTTTCAAAGGATTTCATATTTTTCATTCTATTTCATCATAAAAACAAAAAATTTACACGTGTTTGCTGGTTGAAGGATTACTGTGTTATGAGAGAACTTTTATTTGGGAAGAGTTCCAAAAAATAGTCTATGTGATGCGAAATAAATAAATAAATTTCCATTGCAAAACCTTATTTTGTGGACAACCTGTATCTCAAAAAAAAAAAAAAAAAAAAAAAAAAGAAAAGAAAAGATTTTTAAAAAAAAAAAACGCCTTTTTTGTTTATTAAAAACAAGGTGTTCGAAATGTTTTCCATTCAAAACAAATATTTTACATTCATTGCATACATCGAAATTGTGCTTTTCACTAATTATTGTAATAAATCTTAGAAATTGCCGATTTTTGCATGTAATGAGTTTTTATATCCGACACCACTTGTGGAACAAGGGTATGTTAAGTTTGAGCGGATGTATGCAACACCCGGAAGGATTTAAGATGGACATGTCTTCATTTCATCAATAGTCTTAGAATCACTTTCTGAGTGGATTAAAGTTTATTTGTCCGATTGTGCGCCTGTGTGCCTCTCTATCTTGCTTTCTTTTGATCAACGTACAGATAGCAATTTTTGAGACATTTTGATGAAATTTGCCACAAAGCGGCGTGTTTTCGCCTATGCGCGAGTGCCCGTTTTTGGCCATTTCCCGTATAACTCCTTTTGAAAAGTCGGTATATAGATAGATGGGACGGTCTAGGGTATCTAATGGTGTTTTGTAGCGTTTTCAATTCATTTTCACTAGATAGCGTCTTTCAGCCAAAAGTTATCAATGTATTTTCTCTATTAAATATCTTTAATTTTGTATGTGGTTTGAACAGAAAACAAATGAACAGCCAGAAGACAGAGGGATGAACGGATATACTGAAACCCATTCCGAAAATGTTGCTGAGTCTATCAATTGACAAAACACTTGGCACAAAAGAAGTTGGGACAATATGAGATCCCTCTGTGTGTAGCATACATGCGCATGCATTTATTGCATTTTTATTTTAGCTGGTGTCGGGCTATAATGAGCGAAAATTATAAAAAAAAAAAAAAATAAGTTGTGTTCAAATCAGCGCTCATATCGTAATGCCGTCCACTAACTTATGTAACCCATTTCATTTCAAATCATATTTCCATATGAGTTGGTCGCCTTTCAATTTCAAGATCGTGAAATATGTAGAGGAGTATAACGCATTCAAATCAGGGGAGCAAACGTATTTCTTTGTGGGATACTACTTCCCCTTCTAATCTCCTTATGTAGTTCCTTGCTTGCTGTGTTATTAAAAACAAAATAAATCTACGAAGAAACAAATATTCGGTTTACGGCGATCCTTTGACACCCATCGTCTTAAGTCAATATATTAGAATTATTCATTAGTTTCTTGAACATAGTCGCTTCAGTTGGTTTATCGGGTCCACTTGCACCACACAGTTGTCACTTACATTTACGTCGGCCTATTAGCTGGTAGCAGGAATAACTGCATAGGCTTTATAGAACGTAATTTTTTTCGATGTGTTTGTTGGTCGTGCGACACCCTCAACCATTTCAGACAGACGCATCCTTTATTAGATCGATTGAGGTCGAATCATTTTTTGATATGATTAAAGCACGAAGCCCATTGAAAAGAATACAGTTTGCCGTATTTTCACGACCATCCCCCATATACCAATCTATTTATAAAAAAAAAAGTCATTAAATGAAGTGATTACCAAATGTGCGCAATAAACTTAGATCAGAGGGGACTTTTGCAAATCGATTCCACATAAAAAAAAATTCCACCTTTACACGGTAAGAAAGACTAGTTACTGATATTTTATGACTAAACAGTTACACAATAAATAGTCAAGTCTTTGATAAGAATGCTGACTTTATTGGCTTTGGACTAGATTAGTTCATGTTTTAGGCTACCTTCAATATAAGGATTCTTATGAAACGTAAACCTTCATATGACAATATTGAACAATTTTTGGTTATTAATGACGAAATTACAGGAAGAAGGAAGAGACGCAGAAGAAGTGTATTAAGGAGAAGTGTGGCCCATTCATTTAATATTTCAACTTTTTTTAATCAAGTTTTATACGGTCCTCGTAAATGTTTCTCCCAAATTTTACGCTTTATAATGTTTTTTTTTCATTGCGGGTGTGATTATGGGCGGGTTGGGCATGTTTCCCTTTCCATTAGTAGCTTCAAGTTAGAAGCGTGTATGTCAAGTTTTAACTCTTATTTAAGTATTTAAGTGGTGGGCGTTTAACGGCACGCGGTAGCAGCTGAATTGGCATCGAACTTCGGTCCCGGTAAAGTAGATATGTACGCTTTATTTGGTCTGCATTTTTTCTATATAGATTACAAGTAGGATCACAAATCTAATATGTTTCTATCGGACGCACTCTCATGCTTACTACTTTGCTGTGAGAAATCTTTAATTTAACGAACATTGTAGTTGTAGTGTACGCTTCTTGCTTGTTTTAGACGCTTTTAAGTGACTTCTTAAAACGTAGCGAGAACAACAGTTCTCCATAGCGCTTCTTTTTTTTTTTTTTTGTTCACATATTTGATTGCAATTGTGAAACTCTTAAATCACGAGTTACCTACACAAAGCCTTTGATATTTCACGCTTTGATGCATGAATAATGAATACACACGTACCGGATATTAAGCCGGTATATATGTTGCGCTTCGTTTCACTTATCCTCGCAAGCTCGAATAACTCGAATAACAATTACGATTAGTTCACAAACGTGGACGAAAAAATTATAATGTTTAAATTGTGAAAGGTGTCTCAGAGTGAGCCAATACATCACATATATATTTTATTAAAATAATTCAAATTAAAATTAAAGTATTGAACATTGCTTCACATGTGTCATGAAGTCTTCGGCGTTTATTTATTAAATATCTAATAATCGGGATCCATATCGTTGCTGTTTCGAAACACATGAACAAGCAAAAAATGTATCATTGAAGTCATAGCCGATAAATAGGAAACATGACTTATTTAAGAAGAACAAACGTCAGATGAATTTGCGACACACTTTAATGCGCTTACAATTTTCCATTAATTTCCCAAACAGATTAAATTCTTTTGTTTAATTTAAGTATTGTTTTGTTAAAAAAAAAATTAATTTTTTCTTGCTTATTAAAATATTATTTCTCCCTATCCCATCTTTTTGGGCGACGCAAATTGCGAACATATTCAAACTGTTGATAATTATTTGCAATCTTGCCGGAATGAAAATAAATCTTGCATTAA